CAGCCACGCGGGTTACTGTGGACTCTGTGAGTTCATCCACACAGCCACGCAGGCAGGTTACTGTGGACTTTAGTTTGAATGTTTACTTGGATCGTCACATGGTGCTCCCATCCTTCACTCATCTGAGTGCTCTCAAGATCCCTTGCGGTCGCACACGTCATGGAGTCAGCTGTCTCATCTCGCTGTCTTAGGGTTGGCATCCATTGGTGATCTCTTTACACTTGCCTTAAGATCTCTCTGGTCCTCGCCAAGGTACCTAGACATGCTAGGAGAATTTGCATCTTGGCTCCTTTTTCTGCTCTTCCTGACTCGCTCTGACTCTGCTCTGCAGAGAGAGGGCTTGCATCCCAGGGCTGCCAGTGAGAAGTAGAAGTCACAGCTCTCATTGATATCCAAAGAGGATGCGTCCTGTTATTGAGGCGTGGAGACTCCGGGGTCCCTTTAGGGACTCTATCAACACCATGATGAGGCCTGAGGTGTTCCATAAAGCCTCTGGGTGGAAGGCTGGGGGTCTATCTGGTGATTGCTGGCAAGGGACAGCACATTGTCCTATGAGGATGGGCTAGAGCAGATACTGCCTAGTGTTTCTTCTTCTTGATTGGCTGGCCTGCCTGCCTGCGAGCTTCAGATGGAGGCAGTTCTTCCCTTAGCATTGTTTCCGGACAGCTGGTTCTGGCTGTGGAACTTGTGCCAAGGAGCCGACACTGTCTCTCAATTGTCACTATCTCCCTCCCCTTAGACATTCTAACAAAGGTGGCACTGATTTGGAGTTAAAACACCATGTATATAGTGAAGACCCAGGGCTCTCACAAAGGAAAATGGGGCACCCTCTGTGCCTGCTGAGCCTCCACTGCAGAGAACAGTAGAGCACTGCAGCACACAGGGAACCCAATACTCTGACGCATTTATGAGAAGGGGGACTCCTATTGCAAGCTCTGAGTCCCCCCGAGAGACTGCAGATCTGAGTCCCACTGCGGAAACCAATCAGTAAGATAGATCCTGGTTTGGGATTGTGCTTCTAAGAGAGAGAAATGTCGAAATGTCGCTGACTCCACTGACAGGAGTTGTCTGGCCAGCCGGACAGAAGCTCGTGGACTTTCAACCTTACCCTGGCCTGAAATTCCGCTCTTGTCCACCTCCAAACAGCATGGGGTACAGGGGGGTAAGTTTACCAACCCCTCGTACATACAGAGCACCGATCCTGGGGCCGTAGAACTGGAAGGAAAAACCAGTCATTTACTCACTGGGAGCTGCTTGGCAACCTGCTCCGTTTGTGTCTGAGTGTGAGAGGCACAGAGTGCTCCGGGCAGCTCTGGGGGCGCATGCTCCTGCTGTTTCCTTGTGGCTTGGTCTGCTTTTCTGCTACGACTTGGTGTACGAGATTCACAGAGCCCTCAGGTCCAGGGTCCAGCCCAGTCTGAGGACAGGCAGGTGTTGGATTCCTGTTCCAGTCCTATGTTGGGAGGGGCCTGCGCATGGCACCACTGGATTGTGAAGGAAGGGGCCAGAATGGCCGCTGAGGGCTTTTCCTGCACTCTACAACTCCCAGTGGTAAGAGGCAAAGGGTTAAGTGTCACAGTGTCAGGCCAGCTTGAGTGCTCCTTTAGGGACCAGCTAAGGTGTAAAACAGAGCACAGAACATCTCAGTCCTTGTCAGCTGCCAGAAAGCCAAACGGAAGCTCTGGGGAGGATCTTTGCTACAACCTTGTTCCTGAACTGCACTTTGAAGAGTCACTGAGACCGAAACTTCTTGCTGAGAAGTCATAGTTCAATCAAGTTAGAGGAGGCAACAGTTTCCTGGACTCATCTCTTTTATGCTGGCAGGGTCCTCCATGGGTGCAGATGAGGCCTCTGTGTTAAGTTTCTCCGACAACCAACACATGGCCATCCATCCTCCACAGAGCCCATTGCTATGTCCTCCCCTGACTCCGTGTGGGTTGGGGTGCCCTGCTATCTGTGTCATGGTTTGTCAGAGGTCATTCGAGCTGTTACTGGTGTCGTAACACATATGCACTGAAAGCTCTCGGGGACAAGGCCCTTCCTGAGTTGCTGTCACCACATCTCAGGACCTGGTCCCTGACAGGCACCTGGTGTTCACTGGATGACGACAATGACATATTCGGTCATGGACAGTGGTGCTGAGGCCTCCACTCTGCTGTGGCTATTAAGTCAATATGGAGGGAAGGCAGCCCATGTGCACATACCTTATGCCCCACGATGGTCAGGAAGTCCACGCCCAGGTCCTCAACATCCACTCGTCTCTTCCCCAGTGCCTGAGCGGCATCTGTGTGCACCAGGACTCGGGGCAGGCCCGAGGCAGCCCGGATCTGGTTCAGGGCTTTAATACGACGACTGATCTCGGAGACAGGCTGAAGCAAGAGGAGATAAGCAGCAGAATGAGTGCGTGGTTCTGACTAGATGGGGGTAGAATGACTGACATGAGCTGCCAAGGGCGGAGCTAAGCCAGAGTCAAGGACAGAAAAAGGACAGGCCCAGTGCAGATGCTGCGTGGAAATGCCCATGTCAAGTACCTTCTTCCCTGGGGCCTCCCTGAAAAGAAAAAGGCCAGCTCACCATGATGACGCCGGTCTCGTTATTGGCCAACATGATGGTCACAAGGCACGTGGTGGGACGGACAGCCGCCAGGATATCCTCGACCTCTGCTTGCCCGTTCACCTTCGACACTGGGACAAAAGTGACCTCTGAGATACAAAACACATATACTAAGGTTAACCATCCAAATAACTCCACAATTATATATATATATATATCTCTTTCTTTCTTTCTTTTTCTCTTTCTTTCTTTCTTTCTTTCTTTTTTTTTTTTTTTTTTGTTTTTTTGAGACAGAGTTTCTCTGTATAGCCCTGGCCATCCTGGAACTCACCCTGTAGACCAGGCTGGCCTCGAACTCAGAAATCCGCCTGCCTCTGCCTCCCAAGTGCTGGGATTAAAGGCGTGTGCCACCACTACCCGGCCACAATTATATTTTTTAAAAAGAGGAATGTACCACCCAAGTTCAGAAAACATTAGAAGTGCTGTCCACTGAGAAGTTCAGGCCTCAGGCTATTCTCCCAACAGCAGGACTTGGGTAGTGAGTAGCTACAGGAAGTTGGACACACCATGGCAAGAGGTAATACCTTAGGTGACACATTAGCAGATGCATCCAGGGAGAGATAGCAAAAAGAGGATTTTCCAGGGCCAGACAAAAGGCCCACAGAGAATGGGGAGAGGTTCCAGCCAATTTCTGTCCATAGTCAGTGGAGTCTAACAGCTGTACCATCATCGGCAGACAGACACTCCTTAGAGAAATCAGAACAAAGACAGCCAGTGCGTGCAAGCCCTCTCTAGCCTCTGCGTCTTGGGATGGATTTGTGCGTGGCCATGGCTGTGTGCAAGATATGAGATCAACCATGCTCCAGCTCCAGCTTCAGAGAGACAGAGAGAGAGAGAGAGAGAGAGAGAGAGAGAGAGAGAGAGAGAGAGA